GTCAGATCACTTCAGGAAAACCAGGTCCTGACTGGGGGAAGGTCCAGGCGAAGAGAAGGTGAAAATCAAAGCTGTACAAGGTGCCTATAGTCTCTCTCCTCCTGGAGACCCAGAATTGTTTGTCCCAGGTCAGTAGGAGATGTTGCAAGCCGGTTGGGGGGGGGCAACCTTTTTAGCAGTTGTGCCACAAATTAGCCCCACACCCTTCCCAAGTAACACTCCAATCCTTTTCCCTTACCCAATCTGGTACTCAGCTCCCTGGCCTATACTCCCTGACTAAACTGCTGCTCTGCTTACTGCTACCAGTTCTGTGTTCCCTGCCTGATCTGATGCTCTGCTTTCTGCTCCCTGCCCTATCTGCCACTGTGCTGTCTTTCCCCTCTCCAGTCTGCTGCATATCACACAGAGGCTGCCTGTGCCACTTGTGGTATCCATGCCACAGGTTGTACCCCCTCCTCCCCACTGGATTTTGGGGCAAGGAGGGACCATAGGTAGGAGATTCAAAAGACTGACTTATTTGGTCATTTCCAAGACAGCTGGTGAGGTTCCTGTGGAGCCATGGCTGTAAATTAAGACTGCCTTCCCCTGACAGTTTCCCCCACCCTGCACTAGGGATAACCCCTCCCTCATCCTCTATCTAGCACAAGGGAACCAAATTGCAACTTTCTGAGCCAGCAGGAGTAATAAAATTAAAGTAGCAAAAAGGTTCCAACCACAAACATTGCTATATGTCTTTTTTTTTTTTTTTAAGCAAGCCTTTGTTTTAATCTGGGGCTGATCAAACAAAACAAAAGCAGAACCAACTATAAAACCCAGCTGAAGTCAGTATGTCAGCGTATGATATTCTAATAACACTGGTTTTAACTTTGCAGAGCTCTGTCAGTGTAGGGAGCCCTACAAAGCCCCAAGTCATGAGACAGCATCCTGACCTTCCTTCATTTGAGCTATGACATTGTCTTACTGCAAAACAATGTCATCCTGTACTGATGCAAAGCAATGAAGCAAGCATTGCAATAAGGTATCAAGAGAGGATTCTAAGGCTCCTCTGAGGCTTTTAGTGAAGCCATTCCAAATAATACCTCTTTTGTCTCCCTACTTCCCAGATGCTTGAAGGGACAATTAAATACCTGTCTGTTTACTTGACATGCATTGTGCTGTGTCTCATGTGAGGCAGCCCTTGTAGCACTCTGTGGGTGCATCTACATGTGCAATTAACTCATAGCAATAAACTCTGGAGTTTATTGTTTCCAGGTGCAGCATTTACACATGTGCCCAGGACCACAGTACCTTGAGCTGGGGAGGACCAACCCCAGCTGGTTGAGGGCCCCAGGAGTTAGTCTGCCAGCCCAGAGCTGATCTGACCCAGCTCAGCATGCTGCAGAGGAGCTGGCTGGGGCACAAGAATGCCACAGTGCAGGGATACCCAGTAGGCAGCCCCCTCACTGTAGCACCCTCATGCCCCAGCCAGCCCTGGTCACTGGCTACACGTGGACTAAATTTAGTTGAAGCACACTAGATAACTCCACTGTAAAATGGTACTTGTCCCAAACAGTACTATCCTATAGCAGAGTTAATTAATTTACTGTGCCCTAATAGGGGTGCATGTGTAGACGGTGATGCTTTACTGCAGAGCAAATGAGTCAACTCTGCAGTAAAGCACATATGTAGATGCACCCTGTGTTAAGCATTCTGGCAATTCTGCCTACAGCCAGTTTCCTAATATCTCATTTAGACTTCAGGGCTAAATCCAGCCCCTGTTGAAGTCTGCCATTGACTTCAGCGAGAATTGGACTGGGCTCCACATGAGCTATGCACAGGGTTCTGAATGGTTCCATGCTGCTCCACAGAAAGATGCTGGGGATTGCCATTTTAGATCTTTAAAACAATTTTTGGACACCCCTGTTTTGGCAAATAAGTTTTTAAAATGCTTCAGCTCAGTGGTAGGAAGATGAAGGGTTGTTTCAGGTAGTGGATATGTACTTTAGAGAAGATTCGCAATTAAAACACTGGCTCTTTGCATCTTCCATGTTCAAAATGTGGGTCCAAATTGAGAGTTTTGAGCCCTTAAGTATTTCATGTATGTAGAACTAAAAGGGTTTTTGTGTATATATTACTGAAGGTGCCTGGGGCAGCTGTGACATGGGGGCAGTGGCAATTTCTGGTTGCTGATGTGCTGCCGGCATGATTGTGTGGCTGCAGAGGCAGTGTTGTTTTTTCTTCCAGCCCCCTCCTAAGTTAGCTCCTGGAATGGCTGTCCTGGTTGCCCCACCCTAGTTACTCTGCCAGTGGATCCACCCGAAGCCAGCAGCTGTTAATTTTCTTTACATTACCTATTATGCAGGCTCATCTTACTGCATTTTGGGCATCTATCCTATGCTGCTGTAGCAAGAGGGTATGCTTGGATGACCTGCCCTCTGAGACATTGGGCTACGCCTACCATAGCTAGGAGGAAAGAGGACCAGTGAAAGGAATTACACAGGCACAGTTAAGGTGATGTACATGCCAGTCAAGGTTTCTAGAAGGGACAAACCACTGTCATAGTTGCTAACCACGTGGTGTGTAGACATAGATGGGGTTTAAAGCCAGCCATGCCAATGCCTAGTTACTTGCTCAAGAGTTCTAATATGTTCTCCCAGCAGTGGCGGCAGGGGCAATGATGGCGGCTAGGCTGCTGGCAGTGGCTATAGCAGCTGGGCTGACAGTTGTGGTGGGTGCCATTCCTGAATCTCCTCTAAGCTGGTACCCAGGGCTGGTGCCCTGGTCACCCACTCCTAGTTATACTACTTCCCTGGAAACATCCAGTTTAATGCTCAGATGAACAGAACATTAAGATGAGAATTTTACTGATTGCAATTGGATTTAAGCATATATATATATATATATATATATATATATATGCTCAAGTACTTTGCTGAATAGAAATGGGATTACTCACCTGTTCAGCTGCAATGTGGGTCAGCCATGGCATTTCAGCAGTAGGAGGACTGTGCCCATTATATCTTTTGGCTTGCCAAGGTCAGGATACTGTGTGATGCATTGTGTCCTTATTCACAGACAGGAGTCCAATGCCATGGAGACAGAGTTCCACTGAAGTCAAAGTGAAAAGATCCGTTTTTAGGGAAAAAAATACATTTGATTCACTTAGTGCAGTGGTACCCAACCTTTTGATCCTGCAAGCCAGATGTGTGGTGAGGAATCAGGAGGAAAACTGGATTCATTCTGTGGACCTGATTTGGCTCATGGGGCCAGATGACCAGTGTGGTGTGCAGGACCAGTTTGAGTGAGGCCTGATCTGGCATGCAGGACTGGCCTGGCTGGGGCTCAGTGTGGTGCCTGGCTCCAGCCCCATGTGCTGGATCAGGTCCTGTGCCAGATTGTGCCCACAGCCCCAGCCCTATGTGCAACGCTATGTCATCTGGTCCATAGGGCTTGGAAATTTGGCAATGGGGGAGTGGTAGCAATCAGCACTGCCACTACTCCCTCGCCACCAAATTTCTGGACTTGTGGGGAACCCTGTGGGCCAGATGACATGGTTCTGTGTATGAGATCTGGCCCACAGGTTAGAGACTGAGCACCACAGATTTAGTGCCACGATTAGGCAACTTGAGTCATGCCTGATACCACAAAAAAGCCCCATTGAAATCAGAAGGAGGATCTGAAGTCTAGGATGCTACTCAGTGGATGTGTCTACACAAGATGCTACATCAGTGCAGCAACGTGCTACAGTGATGTAGCATCGGTGGCCATGAACTGTGACACTCCAGCTACATTGCCATAGTAACATGCTCCCTCGCTATAGCATGTTGCTACAGCGATGTAGTGGCTAAAAATAACTCTGCATCACCAGCACAATGAAGTCCAGGCTGTTTACTGTGCTGTCATTTTGTATCTCCAAAAGGAAGTACTAAATGATGACACAGTAACAATAGCACTGTTGGGGCATGTGTGGATATGCCCAGTGTAAAGTATAAGAGCTTGACCCATAGGAATCTTCAGAAAACATGCGAGTCATTTCTTTAGTATTAATCAATATTTGTTCTAACTTTATTTTCATAGTGTATTGTATGGGTGTGCAAGGAGGTTTTCATTTTCATGAAAACGATTTCATTTTTGATTAAGTATTGATATTTAAAATAATCGACTTTCATCTCCTTTTTCTCGTATCCACATTTTCCTCTGCCCTTGTTTTGGTTAGGATAAAATTATAGATGTGTCCAAATGGTGTGACATGCTAATACATGTTATTCAGCTTCTCTGTACTGGAAAAAATCTGAAATTGCCATATTTCATACAAATCAGAATTTGTCACCCAACATTCATCTCAGTCCTCCTATCATACTTCTGGTGTAAATCATTTGCAGCAATAACAGTGAGAGACTAAATCCATGTCGACTGTAAATATAGTTCTAAAATAAGGGACAGCATTTGAAACCCATGACAGTCGGGACCCTGGAGCAAGAGGTCTCCTAACAGCTTGTGTTCTTACATAAGAATGATTGGTGCAGTGACAGTTGCACAAGTCTTATAAGCCACATGGTTGAAATTCTTGGCTTTTACTGGTTTGTGTTACAACCTACCATGAATAGAACATAGGGTTTTGTGTTCTTAGGAAAAGAGGCCTGTTAGATTTTGTAGAGAAATAGGTTTTTGTTTGGATATTTAGCCCTGATCCTGCAAAGACATAAGCATGTGCTGAACTCCAGGTAGATGAAGAATCCCCAAAACATTGGTAGGACTTCACATATGCTTAAGTTTTTGCAGGACCAGAGCACAAATGAAGGAGAGATACTACATGTTTTAAGATCAGTTGCCAATCATTTAAAATATCCTAAGGTTTTAAAAAAGCCATCTAGGAATAAACACATATTTTCAATAACCAAAGTAGTCATCATTTAAACATTAATTTATTGTTTAAAACAAAGAAGCTGAAAATCAAGAGTTTGGGGGAAAAAAACTACAGTTCACAAGATTTATTTTTTGTCACACTTATGTGAAAAAGAATGGTGATTTATTTTGGGATTTCTGTCATCCTAGGTATTTTGGAAATATTTGCTGTGTCTCAGGGGATTGTAGGAATACGAGGAGTTTTCAGCAACAATTTTTTAGCGATGTCAAAAAAAGGAAAACTCCATGCAAGTGTAAGTAGAAACTGAATTACCAGTATATATTGTTTATTAAAGGCATTGTGGCAACTTCACCTGTACATTATAGTGAAAAGAATTCTCAGGAGCTTGGCCTTACAAGATGCTCAGCATACCTGTGCCATGATTTCAACAATAAGTGCTTACTGACTTGCAGGATGGAGCCCTTGAAAGGCAGAAAGACAGACAGACACTTAGGTGACTGGTAGACATACAGTTTTGAAGCTCTGTTTAATATTTATTATAGATAAACCACAGAAGATTTTTTTTTTTTGTAACTGGGTAGTTGTCATCAAAACAATATGATCTCTATTCAATAATATTTTATTATTAGACAGAGGATATAGATATATACGTTTTACAGAATGTTTTATCCACATGTTCCCTTAAGAAAAAGATGAAGGAACACAGACTTGGGGACTAATCCTGTGCCACTGACACAAATGGAAATAAAAATGCTGACTTGGCATTGTGATTCAATTTGCTGTGATGGCATATGAGGGAATGGAGATACGCCATGTATTTGAGAACACGTAACAAAGGGGAAAAGGGAGAAAATAAAAAAGAGGAAAATGATAAGTGTAGTGAACTCCAGTTCTAGAAAGCACCCATATGCCCTATTCAGGAAGATAAGCAACTTAACCCTTAAGCATAGGCTTAACTTTAAGTACAGCTTGAAGTCCTGTGGGATATATTTTCCTGAACAGTAGTGTACTTGGTATCAGCCCCTAATTTGTGGCTGGAGAGTGCTATAGAACAACTCAGCAGGCAGATGTTCATAGTTGGTTCTTCCACAGCCTTCCCCAAATCTTCATGCAACCAGGAACTTGTTAAGTGGCCCCTCTTGTCCCACTGAAACCAATGGAAGTAGAATCAGGACTTTGCTGAGTGCCCACTTCCAAGTTGCTGTGTGAAATGAGATTCTGATAAGGTTAACTGGAATTGGGGATGCTGGGATTACATCCTGGGAATTTGAGCCTTGGGCCTTTCCACAACGTACAAGATCCAACATGGAAATGTTACTGCTAACATTTAAAATCATAGTAGTGTTTAACTATTTAGTTTTATTTTTTTTTAAATATTCCCTCTTGTTGGTTTTTCTACATATTGACCTTCTGCAGGTTCAAATATATATTTTTTTCAAATGAATCTATACTTTAAAAAAAAAATCAAGGGTACTCTGTCTTTTTTTGTTTTTATTATAATTGGGGATAAGAGGTTGGTCATTAATGCATAGAATAATCAACACACTTGCTATGCTGATGTTAAAATAACTCCTGCTAAAACATATATCCTAAAAGCTAAATCCTAAATTCTTTCATATGGAGGTGTCAAACAAACAAGCTGTGATCCAGATTAAGCCCATGTTATACAAATACTCAGGCTGCTTGGTATATTCAGAATTTTCAGAATCTAAGCCTTTAACAAAAATCACACTATTAGCCCTTATAGTGGTGAAGAAAACATGCCAGATGTGACTGTCACTGAACTGGTTACACTGCCTGTAGTAGCAGACAGCCTAAAACTTTGGGATATGTGAACACCTCTGTTTCCCATTAAACCCAGTGGAGTGAGTGCTAAAACCTAATGGTGCCAAAAGTGTAAGCATTTAATTTCTCATTTTAGCAAATGTAATGGGTTTGGGAGTATAACCTTCTGTGGATGATTAGATAACTTGGAGTTCTGATAGGAAGGAAAATACAAAGGAAAGACAGGAGGAGGGACATGAAGTGAGGGAACAGGAAGAGAAACTTGTGAAGAGGGAGAATGTGGAGTCTCCTAGAGGAGAAATACTGATTTGAATGATGTGGATTGCAAAGAAATGGTACTGATCAAATCATGAAGAATGATAATGGCTAGAAGGCTAGGTACAACACTGGGGCCAAACTGCATATCCAACTATCCCATTACCACCTTTGAGAGAGTGATGATTAATGGATAGGAGTTCTTAAACTCCAGCCAAGTCATCTTTTATTAAAATTGGAATTTGACCTTCTCCACCAAATACGTTTGCCCAAATATAGTGCAGGGGGTAACAGTGGGAGGCAAGAACAGCATATTTTCTTTTGTGAAATATGTGTTTTATGGCCAGCTTTTTGTCAGCGTGTTCTCTGAAAAGATAACAGAAACAAATTAATAACTCAGCACAATGCAGATGAGGAATTGATACATCATTGGTGTTCTATAGACTTTTAGTAGAAGCAAGATGCTCCAGTGGTGCCTAGGACTTGCCATTGCAGCTTACAAAGGGTTGGAATCTAATATATGTATATGGTGCCCATCACTCCAGTATCGGAACAATTCTATTAGGGAAATGCTCTTATCCCAGTGTTGTAGATATGGAAGTCAGACCCACAAGCCCAGATTCTCAGAGGCAGTTTATACTACATATTTTGGGTTTATATGTCAAACAAATTGGAAACATGCCCATGTGGGGTGGGCAGTGAGTCCTACTACGTCTATTGATTTCAAGATCAGAATTTGAACCTAAATGACTTGCTCAAGGAATAGGCCTTGCCCCCAAGTCCTGACCAATGAATCATCCTCATTTTCTATTCTGTCACCCCCATCCAAACTAAGTGTGAACAGCTACATACAGAGTAAAGTGTAATACAGCATGTGTAAAAGTGACAAAAATATGTCAGAGTAGCCCAGAACTACATTAATTTAGGGTTCACAACTTACACCTGTCCTACCCTAGGGGAAAGAG